AGAGACAGATCGCCTCCCATTACCACCCGCTGATCGACGCGTACGCCTCGGGCGACACCCGTGTCATCGACTGGCAGTTGGGACTCATGAAGCTGTCGGGTGTGACCGGTATTTTGGTCGACTGGCCGGGCACGTCAGGCCTACTCGACTACGGCGCCAATATGCGCAACGCCGAGGCTATCATCTCCCGTACCGCCGCCCATGGATTGGAGTTCGCGATTGTCTACGAGGACCACAACCTCGAGTTGGCTAAGATCCCCGACCACGTGGGTCAGGCCAAAAAGGACATGCAGTACATCAATGACAGGTATTGTGGACTATACTTGATAATGTTTAGCTTTGTTTGTTTATAGTTAGACTACTTTGTTCATTTAATTTTATTTATGTGTTCTGAATATATGAAAATAATCCACCCTAGGTCTATACAACTAGTAACTTTTAGAATCATCATTTACATTTATAAATCAATTTCTAACTAAACGATAATGACCATTTTAAAAATTAATTCTCAATAATTCGTGGTCAATAAAAATGGAGTTTACAAGTATTGCATTTAATAAATTAAGCTTGTATAAAAAGTCATATAATTAGGGAAATTGTTTTTCAATTCTCAAATGGCAATTCCTAAACAAAATCCATAAACTAGTCATAATATTTAGAAATAATTACAGTTTATATCAAAATATGCTATTTTATACTAATAATAAATACCACTCATATTAACAGGTACTTCAGCCAATCAAATCACGCTAAACTGAACGGTCGACCCCTGCTCATGGACTTCGGCCCCCAGACCCTGAACGGGGACGAGTGGAACCAAGCGTTCACCCCATTCACCAATAAACCGGAATTCCTGATCCTATGGTACCAGACAAAGACAACTGCCGGTGCCTCGCACGGAGACTTTGCGTGGCCGTCCCAGGACTGGATCAGTGGACTCCAGGGCTGGTATGGTAAACAAACGGGAACCAAAGTAGGCTGTGCTTACTCGGGCTTCAACTCATTCTACAAGGAGGGAGGTTGGGGTGACTTCCCCTGGAGTATCCCGGTCAGTGTGTCCAACTTCCAACAGTCCCTGGACCTGGGACTGGCCCACACGGACACCCTACAGGTCGCCACGTGGAACGACTACGGGGAGGGCACTCAGATTGAGCCCACACTCGAGTTTGAGTACCAGTTCCTGGAGGTGTTGCAAAAGAAAATGGGTGTCAGCTCTACTGTGGCCGATCTGAAAAAGGTGACGGATACTTATTTCCATCGCGTGCAGTATGCAGATAATGCCACCATGAGTGCCCTGCTCGAGAAGCAACATTTCGACCTGGTTCATAAATACGATTAAATGATCTATATCTTAAAATGTGATTGAATGAGTTGTATAATAAATACTGTATAATACTGCATACTAGTTGTACTATCATAATTTAATAAATGTCAACATTGATTGAATAATATTTATACAGTACTAAAGTTAGTGTCCACAACTATTTTATTATTATATAAAATGCTCATAGATAATTTTATAAAAGTTAAAAGATTTTGGGTTTTAAATTAATTAACAATAAAATAAAATATAATTACTACTATTTTATAATCTATAAGTATTGAGAACTGAGACGTGGTAATATTAGTGCTATTATTAGTAAAATTAATATCTGATTTTTATAAATTGGCTTGATACATACAAATAATTTTAACAATTAATTATAATTAAATATTAAGTTATTATGATCGTATAATATTTAAATTAACAAAATGAGATAAATTGATTAATATATGAATAACTTGTTTCATTTTACATGATTTATTATGGATACAACATTTAGTTGAAATAATTTTTACTATGTACTGCACAAGGTAACAAAATTTTTGATCTATTCAAATTACTAATGTTATAGGTATTTGATACTAGGTTTTATAGAATTCTATGGTTTATTGTATTAAAAATATTGTATAATTAATCATTTTAAATTTAAAATCTTTTATCGTGAAAAACTTATCTATTAAAATATAAACCATCGATTACATTATTATACTAACTTGTAAATATATTTATATATACGAGTATTATCAAAATTACCGGTAATTTTAATTGAATAAATAATTACAACTACAATAACAATAATTACAAATATGTTGTTAGTTTTATAGGTATTGTCGCAAAATCAAAATACATACTTTCTTATACATGTTCCTGATCAAATGTTTTATTGTACAACATAAAATATACTTATAAAGTTTATCCAAAAGTTAAAATTTTTATTATGTAATTGCTTTATCCTATTTGTACCTTGTGTACTACAGTCTATAATCTTTTAAAGCAACCTCAACAAGAGCAATTCTCTCTATAAGAAAACATTTCCATAGCACCGGCTGTTATGTATGTGTGTTGTGCACCGGGTTTCCAATAAAAGTCAATATTCCACAAAAGCAAAAGGATTTACAACACAATCAATTTCATGAGATTTTTTTGTCCATTCAATAAATATTTAAATTATTTCTAAGTAAATTACTTAAATTCATCGATGAATTAAATAAAATACTTTTAAAAATAATCATGATTTATTATGAATACACTTTACCAAACTACTTTGTAATCAATGAAGTGAATTAATATTTTGTTTTTAGAATTAAGCAAACTCATTTAATATATAAGTGGTGATAATCTCATAAGAGTGCCTATTAATTTATAACATAAAACCTTAATATATTAATGTAAGCAATAAATAATAATAGGTTAATGAATTAGTCATCGAAAGCAAAATTTAATTTGAAAAATGACGTATTGCATAACTGTTGTTAAACTGTAATAAATTATACCACAATTTTTAAAGTGTACAATTGTTTAGAATAATTTAATAATTTAAATCAAAACTTTTAAACTCAACACAAATTTACTATCAATGGGTCAAAAGTGTATCAGGAAAATATTTAATCTTTAATCTTTACATTTAAATAATTTCAAAGATTAAAGATCCTGATGCACTTTTGGATTTGGTCTCTCAGATATAAATTAATAGACTCACATAAGAAGTTTATTTTTAACGAATAATAATGGTTTTAACTTCAAAAGAATAGTGAAAAAGTATACTAAAATTTTAAGTTATAATTATGTTTCAAATACTGTATAGGTATAAAAATTTTATAACAAAAAAGTGTAACATACTTGTCGTGGACATACTGCATGTCCCTCCGGCCCTGTCCGATGTGGTCGGTTATGTTGGCCAACTTGAAGTTGTTGTCCTCATAGACAACCGCGAACTCCAGCCCATGGGCGGCGGTACGGGAGATGATAGCGTCGGCGTTACGGGCATTACCCGCGTAATCCATTTTACCTGAGGTACCGGGCCAGTCGACCAAAACACCGGTCACGCCCGACAGCTTCATGAGTCCCAACTGCCAGTCGATGACTCGGGTGTCGCCCGAGGCGTACGCGTCGATCAGCGGGTGGTAATGGGAGGCGATCTGTCGCTTACCGCCCGACACGATGTCCGGGTTCTGGTTAGCCATAGTCCAGTGGATACCCCATTTGCCACCTC